GGGGCAAAGGGTTTTTTTGTATCAGAAGTTCACAGAAGTGTTTTCATAAACTGCAACAGTTTTGGGCGTTCTGAGACCTTCTGATACTTTGTTACAATAAATAATATCCGCGTTCTGCCGCCGCGGGATATTTCCTCAATGGTTAAGGTTTGCTGGGACACGGTTGTTGCTGGGACGGCCTTGTGGTTGCCAGTAAGACTCTGTTCAGAGGGGCACACAATAATTTCTGGCTAGCATTGGCCATAGCGGGCACTTTGTGGTCTCTGGTCAGGTGTGATGATTGGACGGATGACTTCCTCCTCCTTGTTGGAGATCAGACGCAGTGACAGTCCTCCTGCGTTGTCCTCCTCAGGCTCACGTCGGGGGCGACCAGTATGTACATCTGCGGATCTACAAGAAGCTTCCGTGTTACCACGAGGAGACGAGCCTCACCGCCTTCCAGCTCGGCAAGACCAGGCAGGACGACATCGTGCACTTCGAGCCCGGCCATTGATGGAAGCGCCCGCTCGGCCCCCCCAATGCAGGTTTATGCTCTTCTTTTGTAAAATAATAAATGGCATAAAAACGAGAATTTCTGTCATTTCATTGTAACGTCCGAGGTGCTACAGCTCAGCCTGGGGGGCCACAGAGGCAATCAGCACATAGCCCTCGGGGGCCACAGAGGCAATCAGCACATTGCCTCTGCGCGCCCCCCCCTCTCCCCCCAGGGCTATCAGCTCAGAGCCCTGGGGGGCCAGTCCGGACCTAACTCGCTTCTGTCTTCCCCCCTCATTGCAGCAATGTGAGCTCCACCATGGAATGAGCTTATGTGTATCCGGTGCTGATTACAGCCCGGCCCAACCCACACACCTCAGTCCCCAGCACACAGTAGTGGCAGCACTGATCTGTAGAGGAGCTGTAATGGTCACTGATCTCTAACAGTCTCGGGTAATACACTATTATTGCCTAAAGTATCCCAGTCTTAGTCCGCAGGGTTCAGTATTGGGTTGGCTCCGCCCTTTGCCGCTATAACAGCTCCGCCTCTTCTGGGAAGGCGTCCAAAAGGTTTAGGAGTGTGTCTATGGGAATGTTGGACCATTTGTGAGGTCAGGTACTGATGTTGGGGGAGGGGCTTGCAGTCTCCGCTCTAATTCATCCCAAAGGTGTTCTATGGGGTTGAGGTCAGGACTCTGTGCGGCCAGTCACATTCCTCCCTCCTCCCCCCTCCCCCATCCATGTCTTTATGGACCTTGCTTTGTGCACTGGTGCGCAGTCATGTTGGAACAGGAAGGGGCCGTCTCCAAACTCCTCCCACAAAGTTGGGACATTAAAATGTCTTGGTGTGCTGATGCCTTAAGAGTTCCCTTCACTGGAACTAAGGGGTGGAGCCCAACCCATGAAAAACAACCCCCCCCCATAATCCCCCTCCCCCAAACTTTACACTTGGCACAATGCAGTCAGGCAAGTACCGTTCCCCTGGCAACCGCCAAACCCAGACACGCCCACCGGATTGCCAGACAGAGAGGCGTGATTGGTCACTCCAGAGAACACGCCTCCTCTTCTCTAGAGTCCAGTGGCGGCGCGCTTTACACCACGGCATCCCACGCTTCGCATTGCACTTGGTGATGTGCGGCTTGGATGCAGCTGCTCGGCCATGGAAACCCGTTCCATGAAGCTCTCTAAGCACTGTTGTTGTGCCAATCTGACGGCCGCATGGAGTTGAGGTCTGTAGCTATTGGCTCTGCAGACAGTTGGCGACTTCTGCGCACTGTGCGCTTCAGCATGCGCTGACCCCGCTCTGTCATGTGACGCGGCCGACCACTTCCTGGCTGAGTTGCTGTTGTTCCCGGTTGCTTCCACTTTGTTATAATCCCAGTAACAGGTGACCGCGGAATATTTAGTAGCCGGGAAATGTCACGGAACACCTGAATCCAATGATTTGGAGGGGGAGGGGCCAATACTTTTGGCAATATAGTGTATGTTCCCAGTCCATCGCCATGTCTCCAATCACACATGTAACATGTCCTCCATCTGACCATCTCCTATACCATGTCACCACTATATGTATCTTCACCATTGTCTGCGTATTGTCAGATCCACTCCCCTAAACCCAGGAACAGAAATGTCATATCGCAGCTCACCCGTCCTTACATGATGCGGCCGCATTAGGTTTTCTTTTCTAGGCTAAGAACATTCCCTGTTGATCCTGCCAGAAATCCAGATGTCCTCGTCACTTCCTGTGCACCGAGCTGAAATCTCAAAACAAGGTTATATGAAACACTCAGCTCCCCATCCTCTGAAGGAGGTTTTTTTTTTTTCCCCCAGGGAGACACCGCTGCTCCTCCACAGATAAAGGGGCGGTGAGCGTTGTCACCCTGGGACAGGAAGTGTGTTGCTGCCGGGATCACCAGAGGGGAAAAAAAAGAAAACTAATGCAGCCACCACATCTGATGAGCTGCAATATGGAGACTTGTTCCAGGAGAGACCTCGGTGATTGTACCCGGAGGAGGAGGACGGGACAACATCAGGATAACCAAAAGACAACTCGGACACCATTTATACTCCGGACACTTTATTTCTCACATTTTATTTCCCGTCCAACAAAATGAGATGAAGATTCTGAACATTATTATCTGCACAGAGCGCCGAACACAACACATTTCCGGTCACACTTGGGACTGAGAACCCTCCGAAAGAAGTCATTCCAGAGACCTCATACAGACAACAGAAAAAACAACTTCCTGTACACCGGCCCGTACAACTTCCTGTACACCGGCCCGTACAACTTCCTGTACACCGGCCCGTACAACTTCCTGTACACCGGCCCGTACAACTTCCTGTACACCGGCCCGTACAACTTCCTGTACACCGGCCCGTACAACTTCCTGTACACCGGCCCGTACAACTTCCTGTACACCGGCCCGTACAACTTCCTGTACACCGGCCCGTACAACTTCCTGTACACCGGCCCGTACAACTTCCTGTACACCGGCCCGTACAACTTCCTGTACACCGGCCCGTACAACTTCCTGTACACCGGCCCGTACAACTTCCTGTACACCGGCCCGTACAACTTCCTGTACACCGGCCCGTACAACTTCCTGTACACCGGCCCGTACAACTTCCTGTACACCGGCCCGTACAACTTCCTGTACACCGGCCCGTACAACTTCCTGTACACCGGCCCGTACAACTTCCTGTACACCGGCCCGTACAACTTCCTGTACACCGGCCCGTACAACTTCCTGTACACCGGCCCGTACAACTTCCTGTACACCGGCCCGTACAACTTCCTGTACACCGGCCCGTACAACTTCCTGTACACCGGCCCGTACAACTTCCTGTACACCGGCCCGTACAACTTCCTGTACACCGGCCCGTACAACTTCCTGTACACCGGCCCGTACAACTGCCCGGAGTCGGCTTTGTATTTAAATAGTGGAGTATTAGGCCTCATTCACACAAGTAACGGCCGGCCCGTACAGATCTGTATCGGGCCGCTCCCGGGAATTACAGGTGCTGCGTGTGATTTGTTCTTCTCTATGGGAGCACGCGGCCGTACGCTCACCCGCACTGCACGTCTGCACAGGTGCACTGATCCTGTCTGTGTCCGAGCAGGGACACGCGTACAGACGTGCAGTGCGGGTGAGCGTACGGCCGCGTGCTCCCATAGAGAAGAACAGGCCGCTGCGCACAAATCACACCCAGCGCCTGTAATTCCCGGGGGCGGCCCGATACGGATCTGTACGGGCCGGCTGTCAGTCGTGTGAATGAGGCTTCTAGAAGACGTATAAAACCCGATATAATAAATATATAGAAGAAAATCTGCCGCATTATATACACATTATAGGGATACACCGATACCAATACCGAGTACTCTGACCGGCAGTGCCATAGGGGAACATGGAGCCGGCTTCCCAGGCAATCAGGAGTCCGGTCAGTGCATAATGACCCACCTCCCGGCTTCCTGTATGGCCAGGAAGCCGGTTCCATGCTGATTGGATGCCAATCAGCATGGAGCCACCTTCCAGGCCAATCAGGAAGCCGGGAGGTGGGTCATTACTCGTCACCCAGCTTCCTGATTGACCGGGAAGCCGGCTCGATGCTGATTGGCAGGGTATCGGTACTCGGCCTCGTTGATTACCGAAAGCAAAATATCTGTACTCGATACCGAAAAAAACCGTATCGGTGCATCCCCAATACATTACATACACATCTCAATATACAAAAATACATTGTAACCTATACAAATATATAAACAAGCCCTGCACAGTTTTGTCAATATAACACTGGGGAGAGGAGAGAGCAGAGTGCTGACCTCATCATAGCGGTGACGCTTCTGCAGGCTGTGGTGTGTGATTATTATTATACAGGCTTCTGCAGGCTGTGGTGTGTGATTATTATTATACAGGATTTACAGTATTGCCGTCATAGCGAGGAGGAGTGCGTCCATTGTGGAAGACGAGGTCGGGTTGAGGAGCATTAATCACAATGTTAGAGTCAGGAAGAATGATGGCGGGTGTTATGGAGGAGAGACGGCGGGGCAGCCGGGCAGAGAAGTCATCAGGGACGCGATATACTGGTCCAGGAGGCCGATAAATCACAGCGATCCTCAGAGAATACAATGAGAGGAGAGGGATAGAGAGCTTTGTGGGGACAGAAGGATTCCAACTCCACCTCCATTATGTCCTCTGGTGGGTCTGGAGAGCCGGTGGGGGCCACCATGGGAGAGGGAAGACCCGGATGTTCTGCTTGACTGAAGAAAAGTGAGATCACTGACCCGGCGAGACTTCCTGGGAGGGGGGACAAGATGGTTCTGTAATATGAAATTCAACTTTATATTGAAGTGCTCAGCTCAGCGCAAAAATGACTTCATATAGTCCAAACAGATTGCTTCCAGTGTGTAGATCACCCCCCATGTCCTCCACCACCTGCAACTACTGAGATGTAGACTTCACACTCATCTCCCTCGGCGGGGCCAGGCCCGTTCTCCTCCGCCTCGGCGGGGCCAGGCCCGTTCTCCTGCGCCTTAACAGGAACCGGACCATACTCCATAGTGTGCACAGAACCATTGCTCTCATTCAGAGGCATCATTTGGGGATCTCTTTGACCCTTCTTCCAGTAACAGATCTGTGAATATAAAACCCGGAATGACAGGTCAGGTGACAGCACAGAATATCCTCACAGATCACACAGGATTTATAGCAATCACACCTCGTCCTCTCACAGACAGTCCCCAGTTATGTGACTATCGGGGTGTTTACTGCATCAGAAGAGGACAACCAAGCCGGGGACCTCCCAAGACATTCCGGTGGCCTTCACCGTCCCCGATCACCTCCATACACTCCATTGTATGACCTCATTGTCTACACAGTACTCAGCCCTCAGCCATCCGCTCCCTGCCCCTATAAGAAGCTTCTTCATGTACAACCAGGATTGCTTTCCTGACCCCCCACACACCCCATAGATGACCCTCCGGATGGACAGTGTAAGGGGGCTGAGAGGTCACAGACAATCATAGGACACCGCATGGGCAGACATTTTC